TTGGGAATCTTTAGCACAGAGATTGCAAATGATGCTGCAGTAGTAATGCCATCACCTGAAGAAGGTTCCATCAGGACAACTGTTCTAGCACAGTAGCTGAAGTACAGTATTTAATGCCAGACTAATAAAGAGTGGTCCTGAGGAGAAAGTTTTAGAAAGAGACAAGAATGGGAAAAGAAAACCAAAAATCTGGCATCCTGGAAACTCAGGGAATACAGCATTCAAGGTAATGGTAATAAACACTGATAAAAAGCTGTCTATAGGTTTAATGAGATATCGATTAAAATGAGTAGGCAGTCAGAAATATCTCTTCCAAATTAGAAAGTATTGATAAGTTAAAATCAAATTTCCCTAAAAACTATGGAAGACAGAAAACAAGATGAAAAATTCACCAAATCTAATTCATGAAAAAAATCTGTATTTGCATTTAAATCCCATTTTTTTCATTTTAATTTTTACCTGTTGGATTGGGGCTGCTAATATGCTTGTTTTTTTTTTCAATTTGAGTTACTAAAGAAATCATTCATGGGCTGGGAATGTGGCTCAGGTGGTAGTGTGCTCGTCTGGCATGCGTGCGGCCCGGGTTCGATCCTCAGCACCACATACCAACAAAGATGTTGTGTCCACCGAGAACTAAAAAATAAATATTAAAAATTCTCTCTCTCTCTCTCTCTCCTCACTCTCTCTTTAAAAAAAAAAAAGAAATCATTCAGTAAATATCCATCACCCTTGGTATTTAGTGTTCAAACTTTCTGGCTAATTCTAGAGACCCATTTTGAAATAAGGAAACTATTCTTGGCAGTTAGTCAAGACTACACAAAACAAGCAAAACCACTTTAAGGATCAGGTCTCTCTCCTTGTTTAAATCAGTAACACTATTATAGGCTATGCCAATAACTTTGTTCAGTAGCTAGAATACATGAGTACTTTTTTAATTTTAAGTTCAGATCCATAGCTAAAGAGTAATGTGGCTGAATGAATTAAGCTCAAAAGTGAAAGCCAGAGGCTTTAAACACAAAATTTATCTCTGCCTATTATTTTATGACTAATTCTGAAAATGTTCAGAATGTTCCTTCAGAAAAACAAAATAGCAGATAATAAAATAATGCTAAATCAGAATGAGATTAGTCAAACAAAAATTAGAAATAATTATAGAACCATAAATAGTCACTGATAAATATTACATCAAAACAAGAATTTATATCCCCATGACAACTGCAACTACTTACTGACAAAATGAAACCTGTGTTTTCAGGAATAGATCAAGAACTAGGTACGACACAAACCCCAAATGGGCTCTTTCAAGGTTATCATTTAAAAACTGATGGAGTCAAGGCATAAGGCAAATACAGAGATAATTTTACCCACTTTACTCTTCAGCATATGACACTCCAACCATTTCGGCTTTCTTTTCTCCTAGAAAGTAGACACTCATTTGCAAAGAGATTTCACTTAGAAGTCACATAGTAACTAGAATAAAGTCATTACTAACATGGAGTCAAGTGAGATATGAACTGGGTCAGTTAACTAAAAACCACTTGGACTTATGAAATCATGAGAACTAGATTCACTTCACAGTTTGCCAATTTTTGGTTTGGGGTCAATGAAATACTAAACATTTGACCAACACATTTAATCCCCAAATAACACTATAAGGCATCCTGTTTTTAAAGTTAAAAAAACAAAGGACAGGAAATGTAAATCACTTCATAGGTTCTACTTTTTTATTAAATTATTTATTTATTCTAATTTGTTACACATGATGGCAGAATGTAATTAATTTCATATTACACATATAGAGCACAATTTTTCAAGTCATTGATTGTACAAAGTATTTTCACACCATTCATGTCTTCATACATGTACTTAGGGTAATGACATCTAACTCATTCCTATCCCCTTACTCTCCCCTTTCCRCTCTCTCCTCTTTGCCCTATCTAAAGTTCCTCCATTCCTCCCATGCTCCCTGCCCTCACCCCGCCCCTACATCACCATTATGAGTCAGCATCCTCATATCAAAGAAAACATCTGGCCTTTGGTTTTTTCAGATTGGCTTGCTTCACTTAGCATTCTCCAACTTAATCCATTTACCTGCAAATGTCATGATTTTATTCTCTTTTAATGCTGAGTATGGTTCCATTGTGTATATATTCCAAAGTTTCCCTATCCATTCATCTACTGAAGGGCATCTGGGTTAGTTCCATAATTTAGCTATTGTGAACTGTGCTGCTATAAACATTGACATGGCTGTGTCCCTGTAGTATGCTGTTTTTAAGTCCTTTGAGTATAACCAAGGAGTGGGATAGCTGGGTCAAATGGTAGCTCCATTCCAAGTTTTCCAAGGAAATCTCCATACTGCTTTCCAGATTGGCTGCACCAATTTGTAGTCCCATCATAGGTTGTATTTTATTTATATATATATATATATATACACACACATACATATACATACACACACACACACACACCCAGTACTAGGGATTGAGCCCAGGGGCACTCTACCACTGAGCGACTTCCCCAACCCTTCAACCCTTTTTATTATTTTCATTGTCCTGAAACTTGCCATCCTCTTGCCTCAGCCTTCTAACTAGCTGGAATTACATGTGCATGCCAATATATATATATATATGAATGATAGCCTTTAAAAATCTTAATACATACATTGGATCACCCAGCTTTGGGCCAGGATGATAACCTTATAATCAAATATTGCTATGTAATCTCACTAGTCTCATTTTTTTTTGTTTTGTTTATAACTGAGTAAATTTTAAGTGAAGATCACATGACATGAAAGCTTACTTTAAGAATGAAAGTTTCATGGAAGCTGTGTGAGAACTGAGTTAATGCCATGCTAAACCAAACAAAGCCAGCTCTGAAGAGTCATGGCACATTCATGCTATTTGTAAGAAAGCACAGCCCTAGCCCCATCACAGAGCATACCAATTTGCAAATAGTTTACTAACAAGAAGTATAGCAGTAAAGACCAAATGAATGTTCCCAAATGCCACTAATAACTGCACCAGTCTTAAAATTAAGAATTTTAAGAATACTGCTGCATTAGTYTTCACTGCTGCCATACTTTAAAACTTTTGGTTTATAATAACATGAATCTTACAGTTCTGTAGATGAGAGGCCTGATACATGCATCAGTGAGCTGAAATTAAGGTGTTGGCAGGCCTGGGTTGCTTTCTGGAGGTTCTGGAAATACAGTATATTTCTTTGTATTTCCCCACTTTTAGAGACCACCTGCATTCATTCTTCAGCTATTCTTCAYTCTGACCTTGCTGCCATGCTCAAATATTTTTCTTTGACTCACTCCTCCTACCCCTTTTAAGGATTGTGTTAGTTTGCACGGGCCCAYATAGATAATCCAAGATTATCTTTTATTTTAAAGTCAGCTGATAAGCAACCTTAAATCCATGCTGCCATATATTCTACAATATTCACAGGTCCTAGGCATGAGAACACAGACATTTTGGAGGACCATTACTCTGTCTACCACAGCTATTTGCTAGCACTGTCACCAGATAAACAATGGAACTTCATGGGTTATCAAGTTGGTTCTTATTAACAATGACATTCAAAGATTGCTCACTGACAAAYGTTAAGAAAAACAAAATGTCTTATTTTAGTGAACTAGTAAACAAAGCTTCAGGTATATTAGCACTGCTTTCTTTATATATACTTACATCAACAGGTTTTTTTCTGCAAGATTATTTAAATCAAAAAATAAATACAGTATTGGAAATCTTCCTACTGTTTCTACTATTAAAGTTATTAACAACAATTTATATTTTACAAAAAACCATTATTTGATACAGCATACTATGTGTCCTTATGCCTAGGATCTGTGAATATTATAGAATATACGGCAGCATGGATTTAAGGTTGCTTATCAGCTGACCTTAAAATAAAAGATAATCTTGGATTATCTATGTGGGCCCATGCAAATTTTGAATTTCATGGCTTTATATGTATTTAAATTATGACTTTATTTTGGTTTCATAATTATTTCAAAACTATACCTATATCTATACCTAGTTCTTTGAATACATACTGCATATTTATAGAAGAGTATATTAAAAATAGTTAAGTCAAAACCAGAGAACCATAAATTTATTTTTTCCCTTAGGAAGGAGTTATGTAACAAGTTTTGAGAGACTAGAGTAGAAATTGATAGCACAGCATTCAATGTCAGATCTGAACTCAACTACTACCTCTGCTATACTAGCTATATGACTTTGGACTAGTTGCTGGTACTCATTAGGTATTCAGTCTCCTTGTCTATAAAATATTCCTACATTATAGGTTTACCATGAGCACAATATAAAATTATATATGCAAAATGCTCAGCATGATTCCTGGCTAGTATCATGTATTCAATAAGATTAATATTTACTTTATAACACTGTAACCAAGCTTTAAAATAAAAATTAAAGACAAATTTCAATAACTAGAATATTACATGTCAATTAATATTAAACTGCAAAAAAATTAAACTGTAAAACATTAACTGCATATATTTAATAAATTTTTTGGATATAATCAATTTAAATAAATTATTTTCTTATCTATTTAATTAATTAGCTTATTTATCTTAAAAGTTACTTATCTTTGAAGTTTATAATTTAGTCACCCAAAATCCATTTATATTCCTCARGTCTTTACTTAGTAATAATTATAGTACTATTTTTTTTTTACTATTTTCAATTCTACAAATAGTATGCTATGATAAAAAWTTTTTAACAGTTACTCTACCTTTCCAAAAAAGAAAATGTACTGGTATATTAACATAAAATGACAAGAAAAAAAATCAGAAAAATCAATCTGCCTAGGAGTATGGAATGCCTAAATAATTTTAAAGTAAATACTGAAGACTCAACTTCCAAGGCTAATATTTTTGTAAGTTTAACTCAAGATAATTAACTGTAAAATTCATTTAAAACTATTCCAAGACAGTTTTTTTAATATCATCGTGTATCACGTACAAAAATACTTACAGTTTGATAATATGAGGATGACGGAAGAGTTTTAGATTTTGAATTTCTCGTTTTATTTTTCCAACAACATCTAAACTGCGAATCTTCTGTCTATTTAAGATTTTAACTGCCACTTTATGGCCTGTCAATTGATGTTCTCCAACTAAAGAAAAAGGAAAAAACAAAACCTGTCACATCAGCATAACAATTTCTATTAATGCTTCCTCTTCTGTTATTGCCCTAAATTTCTTTACTCAAAAAATACCACTTTCAGACCGCCTCTTCCTACCAGCAGACTACTACGTGAGCCCAGGCCCAGCCCAGACGGCCCACACCAGCCCATGGGGGACTCAGRGCTCACAGTAGGCCTGGGTTCACCCCCCACCCTCTGGGCAGACACCCGACTGAGCCTAGCCTCTGGCACACGACTGCCCCTTTCAACCAGCAAACTACCACAGGAGGTCAAGCCTGGCCCAGATTCGACCACACCTACTTGCACAGGATCCAGGTCCAGTGTAGGTCCGAGTTGGCCAAAGCCTCTCCCCGAGCCTAAGCTTAACCCACTTCCATCTTGGGACACTGTAGTCATMGCCCCAGCCTTCTCCACACAATAGCCTCTAACTTTTTGACAGCAGATGGGACCTAGAAGCTGCAGCACCTCACAGCAGTATTACCAAAGGGAGTATGAGGCCTACTTTCAGCCTCATTTCTGTAAGACATTACTTCCATCTTGGGGCACCTCAACTATTATCTTGAGCTACCCTGGCTATATTTAGATGCAGTAGCATACATTGAGGGACACCAGCAGGGTCTAGAAGTCCAACATCAAGGTGAGGTAAAGACAATCTGCACGAGTATTATAAGAATACAGGAAAGAAACTATAATATCACAGATCCACACTGCAAGAAAGGAAGACACAAAGACAACATGAAAAAACAAGGGAGGAAAGTGCCCCAAACAAACCAGGATACTATAATAACAGAACCCATGGACAGCAAAGTTGATGAAATGTCAGAGAAGGAATTCAAAAGGTTTATAATTAACGTAATCTGTGAATTATAGAATAACCTAAATGAGCAAATACAGGCAAAAACTGATCACTCCAACAAAGACATAAGAGAGCAATTACAGGTAGCAACTCAAATTACTAACATACGTGATGAAAAAGAAAATATCACACAACAGACACTACAGAAACACAGAAGATAATTAGAAATTATTTTGAAAATTTGTATTCCAATAAAAGAAAATATTGAAGGCATTGAAAAGTTTCTAGAGTCATATAATTTGCTCAATTTGAATCAGGATGATATACAAAATTTAAACAGATCAATTTCAAGCAACAAAATAGAAGACACCACCAAAGTCTACCAACCAAGAAATGCCCAGGACTGGATGGATACACAGCCGAGTTCCATTAGACCTTTAAAGATTAACTAATACTAATACTCTTCAATTTATTTTAAGAAATAGAAAAAGAGGGAGCACTTCCAAACTCATTCTATGAGGCCAATATCACTCTGATTCCAAAAACAAGCAAAGGCACATCAAAAAAAAGAAAACTTCAGACCAATATCTCTAATGAACACAGATGCAAAAATTCTCAATAAAATTCTGGCAAATCAAATACAAAAACATATCAAAAAGATCGTGCACAATGATCAAGTGGGATTCATCCCTGGGATGCAAGTTTGGCTCAACATACAGAAATCAATAAATGTAATTCATCACATCAATAGACTTAAAGATAAGAATCATATGATCATCTCAATAGACACAGAAAAAGCATTTGACAGCACCCCTTTATGTTCAAAACATTAAAAACTAGGGATAACAGGAACATATCTCAACATCATGAAGGCAATCTATGCTAAGCCCCAGGCCAACACCATTCTAAATGTATAAGGAATTCCCTCTAAAAACTGGAACAAGACCATGGTGCCCTCTTTCCCCACTTTTATTTAACATAGTTATTGAAACACTGGCCAGAGCAATTAGACAAAAGAAATCAAAGGCATACACATAGAAAAATTAGAACTCAAATTGGCACTATTTGCTGATGATATGATTCTATACCTAGAAGACCCTAAAAGTTCTACCAGAAAACTTCTAGAACTAGTAAATGAATTCAGCAAAGTTGCAGGACACAAAATCAACATCCATAAATCAAAGGCATTTCTGTATATCAGTGACAAATCCGCAGAAAGGGAAATGAGGAAAANCCCACTTTTATTTAACATAGTTATTGAAACACTGGCCAGAGCAATTAGACAAAAGAAATCAAAGGCATACACATAGAAAAATTAGAACTCAAATTGGCACTATTTGCTGATGATATGATTCTATACCTAGAAGACCCTAAAAGTTCTACCAGAAAACTTCTAGAACTAGTAAATGAATTCAGCAAAGTTGCAGGACACAAAATCAACATCCATAAATCAAAGGCATTTCTGTATATCAGTGACAAATCCGCAGAAAGGGAAATGAGGAAAACTATGCCATTAACAATAGCCTCATGAACGACCAATAAAAAAAAACAATAGCCTCAAAAAAATTAAATTAAAATACTTGGAAATCAATTTAACAAAAGAGGTGAAAAATCTATATAATGAAAATTACAGAAGCCTAASGAAAACCTTAGAAGATGGAAAGATCTACCTTGCTCTTGAATAGGGAGAATTAATATTATCAAAATGACCATACTTCTAAAAGCACTACATAGATTTAATGCAATTCCAATCAAAATCCCAATGACATTCCTCATAAAATAGAAAAAGCAATCATTAAATTCATCTGGAAAAATATAGACCCAGAATAGCTAAAGCAATCCTTAGCAGGAAGAGGAAAGCAGGTGGCATCAATATACCGGACCTTAAACTATACTACAGTGCAACAGTAACAAAAACAACATAGTATTGGCACCAAAAGAGACTGGCAGATCAATGGTACCAAATAGAGGACACAGAGACAAACCCACAAAATTACAATTACCTTGTATTAGACAAAGGTGCCAAGAACATGCATTGGAGAAAAGACAACCTCTTCAATAAATGGTGCTAGAAATTGGAAATCCATATGCAACAAAATAAAATTAAACCCCTATCTCTCACCATGCACAAAACTCAACTCAAAACATATCAAGGTCTTAGGAATAAAAGCAGAGACCCTGCATCTAACAGAAGAAAAATTAAGTCCTAATCTCCATCATGTGGACTCCTTTGGCACAGCACAAGATTAAAGAAAGAATCAATAAATGGGATGGACTCAAAGTAAAAAGTTTCTTCTCAGCAAAAGAAACAATCTGTAAGGTAAATAGAGAGCCTAAATCTTGGRAGCAAATCTTTACCCCTCACACATCAGATAGAGCACCAATCACTAGGGTATATAAAGAACTCAAAAAGTTAAAACACCAAAAAAAACCCCAAATAATCCAATCAATAAATGGGCCAAGGACCTGAACAGACACTTCTCGGAAGAGGATACATAATCAATCAACAAATATATGAAAAAATGTTCATCATCACTAGCAATTAGAGAAATGCAAATCAAAAACCACTCTAAGATTTAATCTCACTCTAGTCAGAATGGCAGCTATTATGAAGACAATCAACAAGTGTTGGCGAGGATGTGGGGAAAAAGGTACACTCATACAGTGCTGGTGGGACTACAAATTGGTGCAGCCAATATGGAAAGCAGTATGAAGATTTCTTGGAAAATTGAGAATGGAACTACCATTTGACCCAACTCTCCTTGGTCTATACCCAAAGGACTTAAAAACAGCATACTACAGGGACACAGCCACATCAATGTTTATAGCAGCACAATTCACAATAGCTAAACTGTGGAACCAACCTAGATGCCCTTCAATAGATGAATGGATAAAAAATAATGTGGCATATATACACAATGGAATATTACTCAGTAATAAAAGAGAATAAAATCATGGCATTTAGGTAAATGAATGGAGTTGGAGAAGATAATGCTAAATGGAGTTAGCCAATCCCAAAAACCAAATGCTGAATGTTTTCCCTGATGTAAGGAGGCTGATTCATAGTTGGGTAGGGAAGGGGAGCATGGGAGGAATAGAGGAACTCTAGATAGGGCAGAGGGGTTGGAGGGGAAGTAAAGGGGCATGGGGTTAGAAATCGTGGTCCAAYGTGAGGGTCATTATTATCCAAAGTACATGTATGAAGACACCAATTTGTGTGAATATACTTTATACAACCAGAGATATGAAAAACTGCACTCTATATGGGCAATAAGAATTGTCATATATAAATTTAAAAAATTAATTTAAAAAGAGACATTCAAGCAGTGAACAACTACCTAATGAATGCTTACTATGRTAAGGGCTGCACTATTTACACTTACAATATACTTGGGATGTTAAGCGGTAGACAAAGTTGTTCTGTAACACTGCTAGCTGTCACCCAGTATCTACTGCATCTTTCATTCCCAGACATGACTCCCAAGTCACACTTGAGCACCCRACTACTCAGACAATAGACTGAAACCCAATACCTCTTGTAACTAGATGTGGCTATGAGTATATTTTTCCCAGTAACACGTAACCAGAAATGTCCTTGGGAGCTTCTTCCTCAGCCCCTCAGTACCTCAATTCTCAAGGTTATCATTTTGAACCCTGAGGTCAGATCAGGCAGCAGGGAGAAACAAGAGAGAGAAGCACCCACTTTGGGGTCCATCCAGCAGGACAGCATGAACCACCTCCTCAGACTTAACAGGAGATCAAAATACTCTTGGATCCCATTTACGTCCCTCTTATTCTGACAATTTCTGTCCTCATAGCTGAATCTAATACACTATTCAGAATACTTTAAAACTCACTTCAAATCTCCAATTTTATTGAGCAACCATACATAGATTGATGGAAATAAATTATCACATACTGCCCATACAATTCCTTGAATTAGAGAGTTAAAAAAGCTCAAAAAAATTATCATCCATTACTAGACCATTTTGGTTTTCCTAAATTTTTGTCAAAATATGCTCTAAAGCTGTGAGATTTTAAGGGGAAAATAATCTACACTCACCAGAACTAGGCCTTTTATAATTTTACATTTGACAAGGTGAAGAGCTACCACATAGAAGGAATGGAACTGATTTATACAGTTCTAGGAGGCAGAAGTGCAAATAATCAATAG